GTAGTTTACAAGAAATAAAACAGTGAGTAACATTGACTAATACAACATACTGACATGAGAAGTAACCTGGGATGGCCTGTCAGAAGAGACACGTTTTAGTTCCCTCTTAAAGTGAGAATTTGGGAAATCAACTGAGTCTTTCCCAGCAGACCATTCCACAGATTAGGGGCAACCACTGAAAAAGTCCGCATTGATAATAGTAGGTCAGAGAGTGGTGAGCAAACTATACAAAAAAGTTTTAAGATCTGGTCAAGTATTGCATCTAGGTTTGGGATGGGGTGAGGAGTCAAAAACTTGAGACTTTTTGTGCTAGGCAACTCCACAGGATGTTAGTTTTCTTTCTGCCATGTTTCGCTCTGCACCAACACATCGTCCAGATATTCTGGACTTCAACTCCCATTAGCTCCAGCAAGCATGACCACTGGTCAAGCATTCTGAGAACTGCAGTCCAACATACCTGAAGGGCACCAGGTTGGGCAAAACTGTTTAACATCAATATGTCAACTACCTGCAGCAGCAGCTCTTAAGAGAAAGCTAATTTAGACGTTTAACTAACAGATCCCTGTCCACAAATTACAGGCCACTGTAACCATGAAGCCATCAGGCAAAGAGTTGTTTGTTACTATGCCTATTATTCCAAGTGGTAATTAATACAAAGCTCAGAGTAATGGTTAGTAATACAGGAAAGGGACAGCCAAGTTTTAGCTTTAAGACTATCATCTCCACCCCAGTGACATCCAAATGTGTTGAATTCTACCTCCCATTATTCCCTGCTTAGGCTTGACTGGGAACAATGGCTCTGAATTCCAACACACCTGGAAGCTCCCAGGTTGGAGATGACTGCCTTAAGGCATGGATAGGCAACTTGTGCCCTTACAGATGTGTTGGCCTCTGTGATCCCTAATGTTATCCCTCATCATTAGCTATGCAGAGTAGAGCTGATGGGGACTGTAGTCCTCCAGATGCTTTGACTTACAAGTTGCCTGTCCCTGCATTAAAGCATACTTAAGGAGCTTACCCTTCTGAAATGTTATGTAGGTACAGAGCACCATTCCCAAAAATTTAAATAAAAAGGACAGTACAATCCATTTGACATGACATATAACTGGGGAAGAATCTCACCATTTCAGGTAACATTAAGAATAGCAATGCTTTACCGGTACTGGGAAGCTACATTTCAATGCAGTACCAACATCAATACAGAAAGGGCAATTAAGGAGAAAGAGAGCCATGAACAATCCTCCAAATATCATAGGAAATATGTTTGGTAAGACAATCTATTCATGTTTATTTGGAGGCAAGTGTTACTCAGCTCAAACTGGCTTACTCCCTAGATGCATCCTTAGTACACTTAGCCTGAAGATAAGGTAGGTTTCATCTATACAGGCTGTTAAGAAGCGAGATAACAATTAAAGTTACTGTGAACAAAGCAAGCGAGCGCTGGTGTGGCGGTTACTGCTGGCCTCAGGAGATCCGGGTTCTAGTCCCAACTTGACTATGAAGCTCACTGGGCAACTTTGGACCAGCCAGTCCCTCTCAGCCCAACCTACCTCAATAGGGTCATTGTTATGTGGATAAAATGGAGCTATGTTGGCTATACTGGATTCCTCACAAGAGAAAGTTAAGGTATAAATGCAATATAATAATCATTCATATAAAGAACAGTGGAGATAAAGGTTTTGGTTAATGATCAGAAGGTGAACAGGTCATCACTGGGCTAGACTGTTAATTATGGATCTTTCTTGGTGTTTTTCCAAGAAAGAGTTGGACAGGCACCTGTCAGGAATGTTTTCGTAAAAGAAAATCCTGTTTGGGGGTAGATTCTTGCTCAGTTTCAGTGGCATGGAACTGAGGATGCCCGCATACAATGGGGAGTCATATCATTAATTCTCAGGCCTGGGAGCCAGATGTGGCCCCATCCCTCTACCCTACCCATGGATCATTTAGTGCTTTTCAGCTTTTGTTCAGCTTCTACCCCACCCCTCCCATTCAAAAAGGTTGAAATGCCTCTTGTAAGGCTTATTTACTGGCACTCAGGCCTTTATGTTAAACTATGCTGAGAGTTTTGCTATTTAAGCCCTGCCCTTTTGCCTTTGGCCCCACCCACCAGGGATGCAGCCTCCAAGAGCTTTTCCAAGACTAAACTGAGCTCTGCAGCAGAAAAACATTCTCGGATGTTACCACCTGTCCATAGCTTAATGCAAGGCAGCCTTTTCAATTTCCTGCCCTCTAGTCGTATAGGTCTACAACTCCCATCACTCATGCAGTCATGCTCAGTGGAGTGATGGGAGTTGCAGTTCAGCCCATCTGGAGGACCAAGAGGGGGGACAGCCTGTGTAGCAGCCAGAAGCGCAAATGGAAAGCTCATGGTCCAAGTATTAGCTCAGCCATGGTCTCATTGGTTAATCTTGCTGATCAAACCTCCCCTGCAATAGACAGAGTCTACCTTATTATGTCATCATAAAGATTACCTTTGGAGCCTCATGAAAGGAGTAAGGTGCAGTCAAACGGCTAAAAGAACGATTATTGTTTTCTTACCCTCTGGCATCCCCTTTAACACTCAGATAATTTATCGTAATACTTAAACATTGCTACATTAATCAGTTATTTGTGTTACAACATTTGCGAATGAAAGAAAGCTCTTATGCCACCATGAATCATTCTCAAACATTGGTGTGGCTACTGGAGAGATTTGTAGAGAATGGAAAATGTGAAAGAAGGAACCATTTTAACTTTCACACCTAAAGTTTAATAGAAAACCAGACAGTGTTGGACTCAAGAGAAATGCAAGCATGGATGCATTTCAGGGAGGAAGTGGAAGAGGAGAAAATTCAAACAGATTTGTTCTTGCATATTATTTGGCAGAGGGCACACCCAGCAAAATTTGCAAAGAGGTTTTCCAAGTGTCATGTGCAAATGCCGAGCACAATACAGCTGAAAACAAAGCAAATCAAAGAGCACTTCCTTGCCAAGATCATTTTCCTTCCCCAAGTCACAGGCTGCTGGAAGCAATTTCTTTAATACACATTTAGAAAACTGCATTCCATCATCTGGGACTGACCGGAACTGGGGGGAGGCTGGTTGGGAAAGGTTACTTTACAGAAATGGCAGAAATTTGATTCTCCCCACCAACTAGCTAAATTTCAATTCTCATTAGTAAAATATTATTTCCTAATTTATCTTGTCCAGAAACTTTTAAACATGTGTCGGCCAGCCTAAGGAAGCTCTGGTGCTTTAGACCTGCTCCTGCTTCTGAGGGGGGGGGGCGCACAGAGAAAGACACAGGAAGAAAGAGTTAAGGCTGCAGAAAGAAACAAGTATCCATTAGTCAAAGTAGCACAGTCTTGCAAGTTCCTTTCTCCCATAGCTGGTTGAGCTTTGATCTGGAGTTGTGGCAAGTTAGCAGTTCCTTCTGGGACAACTAAGGAACTGCCATCTTACAGGAGGTTACGTTCAGTTCTAATTTTCCATACAGTTCATGAAACTGAAGAAGATCCTTTTAAAATGTACTTCAAAAGGACTCTGAAATGTACTTCCCAGAGAGGTACGCCTGGCGCCAAGTTTATACTCTTTTGGGCACCAGGCCAAAACCTTTTTATTTAAACAGTATTTTAAAATTTAACAACTTTTAACCTTCAGTCGCTCTGTTTGCTTTGTGATTTTGTTCTGTTTCTATTTATTAGAAATTGTTTTAACTGTTCTTTTAAATACTGTAAGCCGTCCTGAGATTTTGTATAATAGGATGGCAGACAAAAGCTAATAATAATAATAATAATAATAATAATAATAATAATAATGACAACTAGGAATATCCTGGGGAAACGCAGAAAAGCCTCTGCATCAGGTTATTACAGTAATCATTTCTGTCTGAAAATACCGCCTTCTCTTGCCATCCCCCCCCCTGCCCCCAGCAGTGAAAGCAACAGAGCTGATATCTCTGCACTGTTCTGTTTGGCGGGCACGGCAATCATTTGCGCAGCCATTAAAGTCTGTTGCCAGAATTACAAGAACAAGAGCAGTGGGGTGTAGCTTAAAAAAGATAAAAGAAAAGGCCTCTAAGTACACACATGCTGCAGATCAGATAGCAAACTGGTTACCTTTGCTTCAAAGCCGGTGATGAAATATGGCCTAGCCATCCAAACATTCAAGGCTGTAAAGCCATAGTTACCTACCCAGAAGTCCCACTGACGGCAGCGGGTCTTACTTCTGCATAAACACGCACATGATTCTACTCTGTGCCTTAGCATGCAGGCACGAATGGAGCATTCAACTCTGACCAAGGGAAAACAGCCAGCTTGACTTGAGAAATTTAATAGGAACGCCCAAAAAAGTAAGCCCTTTCTGGTTAAGTCCACAGCTGCTTACTCCGCAAGTTACGGTTGATCAAGAGAGCACAAGCAGGAGTCTAACGAGGGAGTTATAAAAGGGATAAACAGCTGGAAAATACCGTGGCTGTGTGCACATGAGCCTGGGAGAATAAGCTTCGTTAGAGCTATCCAGGGGCTCCGTGATTGGGAAACGGACAAAGCTCGCCCTTCCTACGCGAGGGACGGAGGGAAGCAAGCAGGCAGGGTGGGGAGGTCTTCCCCATGGCACCGGCTGCCCCATACTGATGCAACAGGATGGGCCCCCCGGGGCAGATTTCCAGGGACGCGGATACAGCCTCGCTCTGTGCATGCGCTGCCGCCGGCGCCGGAGGAAGGGCGGCGCGCGTAGCAACCATCCACCACGCCACGCGAGGCGGCATTTCCCCGTGGCACATCACCCACGGAGCCTCGGCCACCTCTGCCTCGAAGAGCCCCGGGCAAGCAAGCGGCGCCCCGCGCCATTCTCCCCGCGGGGAAGGCACCGAGGGGGTTAAGGCTCCCAGTCGCCCGCCGAAGCGCCGCGTTAGGGGGCAGCTCACGCTTCCTTCCCCTGGCAGAGGCTCTCCGCCGCCGATGCCTGGAGGCCTACACGACTCACGCTGCCTTTGCTCTGAGAGGCGCTCTCCGGCTTACCATGCTTCCCACGACCAGCACCATCTTTGCACCTTCCGGAGGTAGTCCACTCGTATCACTGCCTCCTTGCTCGCCTTCCTCGATGGCTGCTCTGCCACTCTCATTAGCGCCGCCTCCCTGCATCGTTTTATGTATTGCAAGCGCCAGCCCAGCAGAACGCTCTGCGCAGGCGCTCGGCGTGGTGAAGCGGGGAAGGCGAGTGCGCCTGCGCGGACATCCCCCCCCCCACCCCCGGCTTCCTCCACGCTTTCTTGCTTCTAGACCACGATTGAGAGACAAATTTGGTTCTCGGCGCGCAGTGGGTGGGTGAAGCTGAAATGTAAATCTGCGGAGGCGCATCTGGAAGAGGCCTGCAAATAGGAACAAACGAATGGCTAATAATAGTAATGAATGATGCTGTGCGTTGTTGTATGTCCAAAAAAAAAAAAAAAACAAGCGCTCGTATCGACAGTCCGATCCTACCCCATTTACTCAGGAAGTAAGTCGCATTGTTATTCATGGGATTTCCTTCTAAAGACATCAGGTCAGAAGAAGAGCCGCGCTAGATCAGACCCAAGGGTCCATCTGGTCTAGTCTTCTGGTCGCACACTGGTCCCAGGGGAAATTCACAAGCAGGACGGGACTGCGAGAGCAACGGCTGTGATCGTTCCCAATTTTACTGACTCAAGTGGGATTTACTCCTGTGTATGCATGCACACGGTTCGGGTCTACATAGATGCTTAAGGCTGCAGCCATACAGCACGTCCATTCGCATGGTTACTTAGAAATAAGTTTCACTGCGTTCAGAAGAGCTCACACATTAGAAAGAATGTGCTCGATTGCAGCCTTAATGTGGCGGTTGCAACACGCTGCCCGACCCCATATCTGGGCAGGTAACAGGGTGGAGAAGGGTCTCAAGCGGTTGTTCCTGGAAGCCCGTGACGTGATGGAAATCGATTGGTCGTGTTTCCAGTCGAGCTGTCGCTCCCCATTTTCTTCCGCTTATTTGCTTCTTGAATAACTCTCGTGCATTCAAGACGGCTGTGATAGTCAGAAATGCAACAGTGGGGAGTTTGCGATCACTGCCATTTCCAGGCTGGAAAAAGCAGCGGTCGGCGAATTGGTTCCCGCTGAACGCGCAGCGCCAAGGTGAAGCAGTGGTGCCCGCAGCCTGGCAAGGAAGTGGGCAGCAGGCTATGATGAGCGCAAACCCCCGCGCAGGTCTGCTCTGAAACACGTCCCATCCAGTTTAACGGGACTGATTCCCTCTGAAATGGGTATAGGATTGGCACTCTCTGAATGCCTCGTTTGATTCCCAGGTGGATTGAGAAAGGTAGGGTTACAATGAGCTTCCCCTCCCGTGTTTTTAAGGCTTTATGAGTGAGGTGGGTATTCTGATTAGGAATTCTGTTCTGGAGCACAATTCAGCAGGGATATTTCTCCACAGTTGCAGCCACATGTTGCAGTAGGAGGATCCCCCCCCCGCCCCCAACACTCCAAAACCTTGTGGCAAGGTGCGCAGCCTGTGTAGTCCTTAAATTTTGAACAGTCATAAACCTTGGCTGTTGGATATACTGCCTAGGATTTATAAAAGGTGCAGTCCAAAGGTGCAGGGAGCTAGACGGCCTATCCCTTATGGACTAGAGCCTTGATAGTTTTCAGTGCCTATTCAAGTCTAATAAAGGGAGCAGATCCTTGTTCCAGATATACATATGGATGAAGCGAATGCAGATTCAGTAATACCCTTATTATTTCTTATAAAAAGGAAAATATATTTGGACAGGTTAAGCTACTCAGCCTAAACCCTGAGCTAGATGTTGTCCTAGCTAGTCCTAACATGCACATATCTTAGCCAATGTGTGAACTTCCACTGATTCATGGTTAGAGGAAAAAAAGACCTACAACACCCAGCAAGCCCTGGTCAGCCAGTTTGGGAGTTGTGAACCCCTTTTCTGTTTCAGTGTGCATAAGATTACACCCTAAAGCTGCAATCCAGTGCTCACTTACCTAGCAGAAAACTCCATTGAATTCCATGGCACTGACCTTTGAATAGACATGCAAGTGTGTGAATGTTCTGCCCTTTAGCTGTAGGTTGAAATCTATTATTTGAAGTGGCTTGTGTCACCCAGCCAAAAGCAGGGCACCTGAATGAAGGTAATTTCTGTATGGAGTTTTAGATTTATCTAGAAATTCAGAAATGTTCTCATTTTTATCCGTGGATAGCCCTCCGATCATCCCCCACAACTAGCAGTAAATGACAAGAGTAGGACTCCAACACATCTGGATGTTATTAGCTGGGGAAAGCTACCCCTGAAGCATTTTGGATGTCCAGTGTGAAAGTCCCATAGCTGCTCAAGCAAACACTGTTTTGCAGAAAAGAAAAGTGAAACTGATGCTGAGAGTCAAGCTGTCAATCAAGATATAGCATTACCAGGATCAAGCTTGTATAGCTGACAAAGCAAGAGAACATGCACCACAGAAGCCCCGTTGTTCCAGGGAAGGAAAAGGAGTGGTCACCGCTTACCAGTACAGCACATGCTTTGCATACTGAAGGGCCTGTATCCAGTCCTTGGCATCTCCAGGCAGAACTAGGAAAGACTCCTGTCTGAATCTCTGCAGAGGTGGTGCCAGTTGGCTTTGACAATCCAGGCCTGGATGAACTGAAACTCAATAAAAGGAAGCTTCCCATGTTCCAAAATCCAAAGTTGCCTATAACTGTATTAGGACCAGGCACAATGCCAGGAAAGAGTCTTCACACTTTCAAGCTCTCCCAAGACTATTATCAGGGTACTCTTGACTCCAGCATGAAAATGAATCTTTGGATCCCCAAGTTCCCATAAGCATTACTTTCTCACACTCTCTCTCTCTACTCATGAGATGCTCACTCTGGTGGAAGGGGGAGTGAATTCCACTAATTCCTCCCACCCTTCACAGCCCACATTATCCTTCAGAAATGTGTTCCAGAGAGATGGGGTCCCTGCAGAAAAGTGTGGGAGGTGGCACAGGGGCTAAAGGGGAAATAATTGATTAGTCTTTTGTGAAGAATTGTTTCTTTTACAAATGGAAAAGCAACAAAGATCATGCTGCTTCAAGCAGGACATTTTTTGAGTTGGGGTGTTTCCTTAATGTCCTATTCCATTTCTAATTATTCCTCATTTTTTCAACATGTCTTCTTTTCCACCACTCTTACCAGAGAGAATCAAATAAAAAGGGAATGATGAAATAGGTGCATAATCTGCTCCAAAGAAAGCATTACCACTAACTGTCTGAACTTCCTCTTTACTGGGAACAGCAAACAGTGCTGACATAGGTCAGACAGCTATTTTCCTTCCTTCCTAGCCTGCTTTGCTTAACATTGAACCTTATGAAAAGTTCTGGAGAACTCAAAAGCTCACTCACTGTTTTATGACCTTTTGGTATTTAGAACACTGTTATATGGTATTATCCCACTGCTTTCTGAAATATTTCTCTAAGACTGCAGTCCTGGGTATCCCAGAGACATACAGTGGTATGGATCCCCCTTTCCCAGGTCAGAAACACAGCTATGACCTCAGAACAGAGTTGAGGGAAAAGAATCTAAGCAGTCACCTTCCTAGGCATTGTAGAAAGCTGCATGGTGGCCACCATATCAGAGGTCAAAGCTCCAACACTGAGAAAAATTAGAACTGATAGAGATGGGAGTGTGCCAGTGGGAGGGGAAGAGCTGTAGCAAAGGCCCATCTGTAAGAAAGTTGCCTTATATAGAAAAGTCCATATAGCCCAGGAATGTTGGCAGTGAGATTCTTTCCTAGCTCTACCTAGAGTTACTGATGACTGAACTTGGGACTGTCTGCCTGCAAAGCACATATTTTTCCACTTTGCTTTGGCCCCTAAAGGTAAAGTAAAGGTAAAGGTTTCCCCTTGACATTAAGTCCAGTCATGTCTGACTCTAGGGGGCGGTGCTCATCTCCGTTTCCTAGCCGAGGGAGCCACCGTTTGTCTGCAGACAGTCTCCGTGGCCATGTGGCCGGCATGACTAAACACTGTTACCTGCCCACTGAAGTGGTACCTTTTTATCCACTTGCATTTGCATGCTTTCGCACTGCAAGGTTGTCAGGAGCTGGGATGGAGCAACGGGGACTCACCCCGTTGTGCTGACTCAAACCGGTGACCTTTCGATCAACCAGCCCAGCAGCACAGCGGTTTAAACCACTGCGCCACCGCATCCTCACCACTGGTTAAAGACTGGGGATTCTCAAACACCTCCAATCTTGGAGACTCCTTGGCATTAGAGTATCCATCCTTGGGGCGTGTGCATTGGACCTGCAGAAAGTTAGCAATGTTATTGAGGTTTGTAAGGTCTGCAGAATCATTAATAAGGCCCGAGAGAGAAAACTGTTTCAAAGTGACTTATACTAAGGTCAATTTAAGATATAATGAATTATCTCTCCCATTAGTTTGGGCTGCATGCACCTAAGCGTATGTGCCTATTTATATCTGCTATCCTGCTATGTTATTGGTGTGAACGAAAAACACAGTCCAATAAAAGCTCTTGAAGAACAGAATGTACGATGAAAAGACAACCAGTCTGGTATCAGGATTAAGAGGGCAGGACTGGGACTAAGGAGATCTGGGTTCTAGTCCCAACTAAGTCGTGGAGCTCAGTGAATGTCCTTGGACCACACAGATTCTCAGTCCAACCTACCTTGCAGGGTTGGTAGTGTGAGGATAAGATTGAGACGGGCAAGTGAATTATGTAAGCCGCTTTGAGTTCCTTGGAGAAAAGGCAGGCTATAAATATAATAAATAAACAAATGCCATGGTCCATCATACTGTCAGGATACCATGGTGAACAGCAGAAGTTTTGTATGGCTGCTCTGTCCAGTTGAGAAATGTGGCTGCTGAAGTGCAATCCTAAGCATATTTACTCAAAAGTGGGGTGCAGTTTGTTTGGTGGAATTTATGCCCAAGGAAAGGAATAAGCCATAGACTTGGTCCCAGGCTCATTTCCAATTAATGTAATGAATATACTTAATGAATATATTATATATGAATATGTGTAATACAGTAACAATGTTTTACATTGTTCAAGCAACATTTTTTTCCTTGTGTGTTCCATTATACCCTCTTAAGCATTCTGGCTCTCTCCCTGCCCTTTGCCATTTCAGT